CATCCGAATTTGTTGAATTGATTTTAAACGAAAACAATAGGAAATAAATTCAACTCGACAATCCATCGAGATAGGAAAGACTGGATGTAAAACTAAAATAATCCATCGTCAAATTAGATTGAACACCGTCATTTTTAAATAACGGACTTTTCTTTTCTTTTTCTTTTTTTTTTCTAACTTGTTGTTCTATAAATCATTATTTTGCATTGGCTTACGAGAGTCGGCTGGAAAGTTCATAGGCTGACCAGGATATAAATGGAAGTAGACAAACCAATTGGTAAACTAAAAGACAGGCAAATGTACCAGCATAAAACAGCTGGCTGACCAATTTTTGTACACTTGTATATCTTTTAGTCTACCAATTGGTATATCTACTAACATTTATATATTGGTCAGCCTGTGAACTTTTCAACCAATCCTCGTATTTCATGTTCCGACTGTCCGGCCATGGAAATATTTGATTTCTATTTTATTGTTCATTGGTTTGATTAAAAAGTCGTTTTGTCACCATTTTTACTCTCTTTTTCAGCTAATATTGGAAAAAAAATAATACCCCAAATTTTACTTCTATATTTGTTCAGTATTTTAAGAACGGACTTTATCACAACTATTTTCATTTTGTAAAAATTCATTCATTTTTTAAATTTATTATATATATATATATATATATATATATATATATATATATATATATATATATATACCTTTGGAAATAATGTCTGATGATCCAGAGCCCTTTAAAAGGGCTGTGGTGAAATAATTTATTACATGGAACCTTAAAGTGGTGTGTTTTTTATTCAAACATATATATATATATATATATATATATACCTAAGCAGTAAAACATTTTTTCTTTTATCTCTGTCCACACAAAGCGCTGTGTACTGTAGCATTGCATTTGTTTTTTTAATAAAGATTTTCCTTCTCGTTTATGTCCCGTTCATGTCTCGTTCAGTTGATAATTGTCTTTTTTAATTTCGTGGATTTTTTTGTTTTAATCATTTCACTCTAAGCAAGGCAAGAAAGCCACTAAGACACAAGAGGGGGTATTGAGTGTAAAAGAAAACATTATAAAGGATCGAGAACAAACAAAAAAAAAAAAAGAAGAAGAGGAATCAAGAAGACATTAGATAACGATTGGCATTGAATTGATCCTAAGGTGTTAAATGAAAAACCTAACACTCATCTTTCCAAATATTTGCCTGTTGCCAAACGTTCATTGATGTCGAACTCTCTGCTTCGGCGGAGAGGAACCCGGGCGAAGCTTTGCCGCAGAGCAAAGTTTCGTCCGGGGAGGTAGACAGGCCCTGAACCTGTTTATACGGGTTCAAAAGGAATATTTTTGACCGAGCCTACGTGCTCGGAGAACCTACCCTAAACCGGCCTTGTGCCACATACATCCCTCGTGGGGGGGGGACGTTAAATATTAACATATACACCCAGGATCGCATCTACTGTCCAGCATCACATCTATTGTCCAGCATTACATACATGTGTGTATGTGTGTGTGTATGTGTGTGTGAGAGAAAGGAAGAAAGAAAGAAAAAAAGAAAGAAAGAAAAAAAGAAAGAAAGAAAGAAAAAAGAAAGAAAGAAAGGAAGAAAGAAAAAAAGAAAGGAAGAAAGAAAGGAAGAAAGAAAGAAAAAAGAAAAAGAAAGAAAGAAAGAAAGAAAGAAAGAAAGAAAGAAAGAAAGAAAGAAAGAAAGAAGGGAATACATAACGTATAGCCAAACGGAGGACATTCGCCATTTTCCGCTTTTTTTTTTATTTCCTGTATGTTTTTCTTTTTGTTTGTGCTGGTCTCTGTCTTCTCCCATTCCAATGAGTCGTATATTTGTCGTTCGGATGCAGTTTCATTCGCCAGCAAAGGACAGCTGACAAAATGACCGGATGTTAGGCCGGGTCACTCAAGCGTAAGAAAATTAAATGGTGAAAACTAAAAAAAAGAAAAAAAAACACTTGTTAACGGTAGTTCGGTTGATTTATTTTATTTATTTCCTAACGAATTTTTTTTTCCCGGCATTACGTTCATCTCTCGATACATTATTACTTGCAAAATGTATTTAAAAATGTGTTCACACTTTAGCAGTTTTAACGCGTAAAATAAATTGTGTTTTTTATGTCATTACTATGCCACTTATTAATAATTAAAACTATATATAATTTTTATTTCGGCTATTTTACCGATAGCGTCAAAAATGAGGATATATGACATTGATATTTGGTCATATCGTTGATACATTTGAATTAACCCACTTTGTCTGCCAATGGATTTCGCTTAAAGTCCGCTAAGTGGCTAAGTTACAGTTGTCACTCGTGTACATTTATGATTAGTATGTCCTCAACATTTAACGTTTGTAGTAGTGAGTTAAAGTGTTCCATTTAACAATGGCCGGATATTAACATCGTGAGCAGGCAGATATGATTTTTACATACGTCCATGCGAATTGTAATGGATCAGAGGCTGCACGTCTGTATCAGATTGCGTTACCAGACCGAAAGCTGGTGAGTCATCCAACCTTTGCTGCTGTTCATCGTCGCGTTGCTGAAACAGGATCTGTGGCCCCGAAATTTGTAAAAGTATTTTTATGATTGTATCTTGGGTTGTATTTTTAACAGCGTCTATCGTAAATTTTAAACTTAACTAAACAGCGAAGGATTTTCGGACCCGCCCCAAATGTTTATAAAAGTATTTTGATAAACCCTATATATATATATATATATATATATATATATATATATATATATGAAGAAAAATATACGGAAAAAACAAACAAAAATCCTTATATACAATTATGCTGTTTTAATGTTAATATGTCAACGTCGGATGTTTCGGTCTAATAAACCATCTTCAGGACATATTCATAAATAACATTATCAATACAACATGACAAAGACGATGTACATAAGAACAAGACTTATCCAAACAAATAACTGAAAGTTTTATAAGATCAGCGCTCCGTTTAAAACATGGTCACGTTGTCGTCACGTGGGCGACGCTGTGGAAACGTATTCCTAAAATTTGAGTATTTTGAATGAAAAATGAAAAGAATTCTATTTTGATCTAAAATTTATATGTACGCTTGTGATAATGTTAATTATATTTTATGAATATGTCCCGAAGATGATTTATTTGACCGAAACGTCCGACGTTGACATATTAACATTAAAACAGCATAATTGTATATAAGGATTTTTGTTTGTTTTTTTCCGTATATTTTTCTTCATACTGTCGGATCTATATCCATATATTTGCTTGCATATATATATATATATATATATACACACACACACACACACACGTAGAGTGCGATGGGTAAATTGTCGCCGTTTTATATTTTTAATTTCAAACGAGCAACAAAACATGACGCAATTCACTCTGCCAGAAATTTGGAAAACAGCATTCTTTACTGCTTGGCATTCGTGCTAGAAGCTCCAATAAAATCATTTCAGAGTGTTTGTCAATCTCAGGATAGTGCAGAGGATTCGGAAGGAGTTGGATGAGTCTAATGGCGATTACGAAGGTAATAGCAGATAGAAAAACTCACTCTGATCGTTCTGACAAAAAAAGAACTCCCGACCTCCCCACTGTGCTGGGGAGGACCTCAGACTCAACACGGAAGCCTACATCAAGTGCCTTGAGGAGATAGTTCTGCCCTGGGTCAAGATGAGTGGGTGCTGGAAGATCCTATGTCTGGCAACAGGACTCTGCACCATGACACACAAGCAGGAGAATCCAGCCATGGCTGTCAGACAATTTCTGCAGCCACATCACCCCTTACATGTGGCCACCCAACACCTCAGACTGCGACAACATTGATTATTATTTGTGGGGCGGAGTTCAGTTAGAGACCGGCAAAACTCCTTCTAACACTAAAGATGAACTGAAGGCAAGAATTATGGCAGTATTCATTAACTTAAACAACGAGACCGTTCAGAAGAGTTACAGGAGATTCCGAAGTCGTTTGGAGGCCGTGGTTGGAAACATTTACTCTTTGGTATTTCTAGATATTTTTGTGTAGTTTTGGTAAATATCTATCAGTGTTACTTTGATTTTTTTTTTTTTTACTGCGTGATTTAGGCGACAATTTATCAATCGCACCCTGTATGTGCGTGTGCGCGTGCGTGCGCGCGTGCGCATTTGGTTGTTATCTCCCTAGCATACGCCGTATATAAAGAGAGTTAGCGATTCCACGTACCAATGACTTTTTAGTGGCAATAGCAAACTGTTCGAACAGGTCTATGAAACCTAGTGGTAAAAAAAGCCGGCACCATAAATAAGGAAAATAAATCATTTTAAACTCTTATCTTATTTGTCTGCTGAGGACGCATGGCCCAGTGAATAAAAGCGTTGGTTGAAGTAATCCAATGACTTGACCAAAAGACTTGTGAATTCAATAAGCATAGGTAAAGTGCTGTGAGGTTCAGAGGTGAACAAAAAACTCGAAGAGTTGTGTTATTAAAAGGAAAATAAGTGAAACTGAAATTGAGATACCTGGAAGACGCATGATACATCGGACTAGAATAATCTACTCTGGTGGACAAAATAAAGGGTTCGGTTCGAAAATCCAATCACCTGAAGAAGGCTGGAGCGTACAACGGCCGAAACGCGAGATGAAATTGCCCGAACAATGTAAATAGTGTACACTGCTAACTATTGTTGCTTTGTTTTTCTTTCTTCCTTTTTTTTTCTTTTTTAATAGTTTTGAACACTTTATTTGCAAAAATATCCTTGCCTCGAACGCATTATCCTCCAGTAATTTTTTTTCTGGTCGATGTGTTTTGTTAGACTCAAAAGATCTTTGCTGTTATTTGATAGAGATATTTATGCTATTAAATACAAACATCCTTTGAAGAAACGTCCTTAAAAAGAAGAGGAAATAACCAATAAATTATTAAAATAAATGATTAATTTTTTTTTTTTTAAATTTCAGATTCACCTTTCCCGCACTGACTTTTGATCAGGAAGCCTACCTTTCTGCACTGAGTCGCCAGAAGGCATGTTGAGTCAGGTGTGCGTGCTTCTAACAATGGCTGTTTTGAGCCGATGCCTGGGTGAAGACCTTATCTATCGCGTGCAGGAAGGCAAGAGCCCCGGCACGTACCTGGGAGACATTGCCACCGACTCACGTCTAATGGATAGCGTCCCCCAGCAACACCACAATCTCATCCGATTCAATCAGATACAGCAAAGTGACACCTCCCAGCTGTTTCGAATCTCCAAAAAGACAGGAAAATTGTACACCGCTCAGACGTTAGACGCAGAGACGCTGTGCAGACACAACAAGGAGTGCTTTAGATATGTCAAGGTTGCCGTCCGACGACTGGAGACTTTTATGAGCATTATGAAAATCAAGGTTCTAATCGAAGATGTTAACGATCACCAACCCGAGTTTCCCGAGCAGCAGATCAATATTGAATTTTCGGAGGGTGACCGAAAAGGCATGAAGAAGTACATACCGAACGCTTATGATAAAGACGTGGGGGAACTGAACTCCCAGATCACCTACCAACTGAAAAAAAAGGTTAATGAACCATTCACGTTATCTGTATCGAAAAGCGTCGACGGGACATCTAAACTAGGCATAAATTTGGATGATGGGCTTGACAGAGAAGTTAAAGATTCTTATATGCTCCAAGTGATTGCTACAGACGAAGGATCACCCCCGAAGCAAAGCGTCTTGGACGTGCATATTACAATCACTGATGTTAACGACAATTTTCCAGTTTTTTCACAAAACGTTTACAATATTTCAATTCGGAACGAGGATTATGATGGCCTTTCGCCAATCGCCACATTGTCGGCCAAAGATCTAGATTCCGGCAAAAATGGTAAGATTTCGTATGGTTTTAATTCTAAAACCTCTAACACCGCTAAAACGTATTTTAAAATCCACGAAATCACAGGGGGGATCTTTTTACAAAAGAAGTTACCCCTTGGACCAGAAGTGACATATGAATTGTACGTGAAGGCTACGGACGAGGGCGAACCCCCATTAAGTTCGATTGCCATGGTTTTGGTCAACGTAATCAACCAGCAGAACAATGCACCTAGAATCGACGTCAATTTTGTCTCCGCCTCAACTGATAACACGGCAAAGATATCAGAAGACGTAGAAGTGGGCAGTTTCATAGCATACGTCATGGTTACTGACAATGATGCCGGCCTGAATGGAGAGGTGAACTGTGACCTCCATCATGATAAATTTCAGCTCCAGAGTCTTGGAAAGAAGGAATACAAAGTCATCGTGAAGAATTCGGTCGACCGAGAGACAGAAGACCATCACGAGATCACGATCAACTGTCAAGATAGAGGTTCTCCACCTTTGCACAGCGAAAGTAAGTTTTCAATCCTGGTGATTGATGTGAACGACGTCCGGCCGCAGTTTTCAAAGGAGACCTACAGGTTTCAGGTGTATGAAAACCAAAAGTCGAAAATCGTTGTAGGTAGCGTGAATGCCACTGATCCCGACCTTGGACTTGGCGGTAAACTGACCTACTCGCTTCAGTCAAACAGCAAGGATTTCCTCCCATTCCAAATCTCCGAAAACGGACTTATAACGGCGGTCATGTCGTTGGATCATGAATTTCAAGACGTTTACAGGTTCCATGTTTTTGTTAAGGATAGCGGTGAACCTCCGCTAAACAATTCGGTGAGCATTGTTATTGAGGTGAGGGACGAAAACGACAACGCCCCTTTCTTTACCTTTCCTAATATTAACCCTTTCACAATGGGCTTCGTTTATTACCCCCGTCGCACGAAAAACATAACAGTCCTGAAAGCGACGGACAGCGACAGTCGTGAGAACGCGTTTCTCAAGTATGAAATAACCTCAGGCAATGACAAACAGTTATTTGCCATCAACCATTACACAGGCCTTTTGTCGTTCAATCGGGTCGCCATGCCCGAAGACGCTGGCTCCTACGACCTCGAATTTGTGGTCAAAGACAGTGGCAACCCTGTTCTGTCGGCCACGACAGCAATTGCCCTAAAACTAACAGTTAGTAACAAAACCACAGAAAAGCCCAACCCCGTAGACATGCAGTCGGATGATAAAATCCACTTCCATTTGTTAATAGTTATTGTTCTTGTGGCCGTACTGGTTTCGGTCCCGGTCACGGCCGCCATCTCTGTGTGTTACATTCGATGTAACGGTAGGCGAAATACGCAGCATATATGCGAAGAGAACCCCTGTGACAAGTGCGAATGCGAGCAGCGGAGCTCCATGTGTTCATCTTATCAAACCACCTATTTGCCCAACGCCCCTATAGCCCTGACGTCAGACCCGTCCCTGCCAAACAACACTCTCCAGAACCGGTCTCGAAGAGGAGGGCACAATTCTGGAGACGATCTTTGTGGAGATCACCATAACGATTCGCATCAAGGGACACAGCTTCAGACGGCGGCTAGGGACGTCATATACGAGGTAGGTGCCCGGATGTGCTTGACTCGGCCTTCTCTGTCGTCTTCTTAACACCCTCCCCCCATCAATCCCCGCAACTAAACCCCCTTTTGCCAATTTGCACAGTTTCATGCCTACCTCCGCTCCCCCACCCGTCTTGATAAGTCCCTTCCCTCTTCTTTTCATCTACCAAAAGTTCTTGCCTCTCGCTCTCTCTATCTCTATCTCTCTCTCTCTCTATATATATATATATATATCTTTCTCTCTGCACTATATTAACGATTTAATAATTCTAGGGATTGTTTAAATAGTTCTTATCTTGAGAAAGAAAAATGAAGATTTTTGGGGGTGGGTGGGGAGGGGGTTTTGAAGATATTTTAACTTATTAACAAATTTCTTTTTTGTGGACAAAAAAGAACAATGGGAGGAAAAAGAGAGAAGGATGAAGAAAAATGAAAACATTTTTTATTGAAAAAAAAAAAAAAATTAAGCAAAGGAAAGAAAAAATGTTTATGAAAAAAAAAAAACAAATAATAATAATGAAATCAGAAAGACATTCGTACATTTCTTCCTCTGCACCGAACGCCATATTTTACATTTGCCTCCATTCCACAAAACGAAAATGAGTTTCAAATATTTATCTGACATCGCTTTTTTTTTTTTTTTTTTTTTTTTTCTTTCTGAGAATCAAAACTCTATTTCACATATCTATCGCCTTCGGAAAGAACTTGGAATTTCATTGTTTAGTATTTTCTTTTTCACTATATATATATATATATATATATATATATATATATATATATTAAGGATTTCAAATTTCTTTTTTCTTTCTCTTTCCCGTGACTTGTCTCTTGGTTGGTAAAATTCGACAAAACTTTCTTTTATGTGATAATGAACGCGTCACAGCTTGCGCCAAATAACAATGCATTAACATCTAACATTTCCATAGAGGCTAAAAACTGCAAGAGGTGATGGAAGAGACTGGAAAAAAAAAAGGAAGAGGAGGAGACTGAAGATGAATAAAAAAATAAATTATTAAAACAGACAGATGTAATATGATAACAATACAAACAATATGAACATTTTTTTTAACCATTCATCTTATATATTTGTATATGTACGTGTGTGCGTGTTCGCACATGCACACACACACACGCATTATATACATATGTGTGTGTGTTTGTATGTGAGTGTGTGTCTGTGTGTGTGTGTGGATGTCTGTGTGTGTGTGCATATATATTTGCGAGTAAATGTTTGAATTTGAATGAAATAACATTGTGTTTAATTATTAAACGTTTGTGTTTTTACAAACGTTGGTTTTAATTATTTTTTGTTTTGTTTTCGTGCACATGTGTATACAATGTATACTTTAAATTTGTGTGTGTGTGTGTGTAAGCTTTTTATACCGAAAACAAATGTATGTTTGTATATGTGTGTGTGTGTGTGTGTTTATGTGTGTATGTTTTTGTGTGTGTAAATGTGTGTGGCGAGAGAAAAGAATATGGCATCTTTTCTTTCTCTTTGGTGTGCAAACGAACCACAGCTGTGTCCAATTTCATTCTGAAGACAAATTTTGAAAGACTGCACTGCCACCAAGCAATTAAAAAAAATCAATAATGGACAAATTATTATTATTATTATTATTATTATTATTATTATTATTTACCTTGTCTCATATTCTGAATATGTGTTTTCTTTTGACAACATTAAAAATCTTTTTCAAGTCATAGAACGCAAAGAGAAAAACTGTCATGTTTGTAAAATGAAAAAAACTATAAACTGATTTCCCTTTTATACACTTTTATACATGGGGAAGGGAAAAGTAATAGTCACATGGATATTTACATTTTCAGTTGTTGTGTTACTAAGAAAGATACGTTTTACTTTTATGTGCGATTTTCATATTTTTTATTCTCGAAGTGTCTTTTTTAAAAATTCTTTTGTTAAAATTGACAACAGCACATTTTTCTTTTTAGATATTAGCATAAAAAGTCTTGAGAAAGATATTTTTAATGATGTCGAAAGTTGAAACAAGGATTTTGAAATATAAGGAATCATCTTAAAAATTGTGACTATCTCCTTTTGTTATTCGAAAGCAAAACTGGAATAAGAATTTCTTTTGAAATGATTTTGTAATTAAAGAACATATTTGGTTTTTTTTTTTTTTAATCTCACTCATTTCTTCGATTGTTTTCATTCATTTACTTAAATCTTTGTCTGTCCCATTTTTCTTGTATTTCATTTTTGATTTCATTTACCGAAAAAAAAATAAGGACTTTAGCCTGACAACAAATCAGAGGCCTGGACAATGGGAGTAGCAAATAAAATGCAACCATTAAACTAAAAAGCAAAAATTCTCATATTAAGTAGTGTTTTCTTTTTTCTGCTTTATATATTTTATTTGTCTTGGGTAATATATTTTGTCAGTGCCTGCAGCCTGTGAATGAATTATTTCACAAAAAGAAAAAAAAACAAACATCTTCTATCAATTACTTTTTGGAGCAATTTATTATGACACTGTCGAGGAATTAGGTGCCATCTGAGACATTTTTTTTCGGAAAGTAAATGGATGATATTGGAAAGAAGTTCTGCATGTTTATGCTTATTATTTCTGTTTTTTTTTTATTTTCTTAAGCCAAGAGGAGGAAAAAAAGGAAAATTAATCTTCTTAATGAAAAAAAAAAGTGACAAATAATTTCAAGAACTGGATGACAACAGAGGAAATTTGATTTAATATGACGATGAGCAGGCAACAGAAAGAAAAGTCATCCTTCATAATTGACCTCATTCACAATAATACTGACTTACTTATGTGCATGTATTTATGCATGAAGAAATATAGCATGTATATATATATATATATATATATATATATATATATATATATATATATATATATATAATTTTATTTGTTTAAACGTTATTTTTAATGGATACTCATGCTTGAGCAAATGCTCTGTTTTTATTTATTTATTAAACAGTATATTTATTTATTTACTTACCGGTTTGGTTTGTTTACATATCAACACCTCAATGGCTTATTTAATGCCGACAAGATTTTTATTGCTGGTAATATTTTTTTCCAAGAATGTATTGTTGGTAATATTTTTTTCCTAAAATTGCTGGTAATAATTTTTTTTATTCAAAAATGTATGACTGATAATAATTTTTTATTCAAAAATGTATTGCTGGTAATTTTTTTAACAAAAACGTATTGCTGGGATTAAAACCTATTTTTACACTTTCATAATGCTTTGATCACAGTCTGGGTGTTAACTATTTGCCCATAACTGGAATCCTGACAGTTGCTACCAACCTGGACCAGGGTAGACCTGGGAACACCAGCAATTAAGAGGTGGTTCCACGCTCCTCAAAATCTCCTGACCAGAGTCCTTGCTGTTGGACGTAGTTTGTCGTCTTACCGAGAAGGCGGATGTAGTTTCTCGTCTTACCTAGGTCGCTACATCTACAGGAGGACTGAATAATAAAAACAGAGCATTTACTCAAGAGTATCTATTTAAAAATACCGTTTAAACAAATATATTAAAAATATGTCTGACTTAATCCATTTTCCAAGCGTCCTCCACGAGGTCAAGCAGCCGCGCTCAACCTTACACTGTAGAAACTTTTTAAATGTAGCCGTCTCTTCTACTCCAATAGCTTCATACCTGCACCTCTCTGCTTGTGAACACCCTTCCCAATTACTGTTTCCTGAGAGCCATAATCTCCAACTATTCAAAATGTAATGTCAGTCGACATCTCCCAGTTACCTTTTATCTACCCACCATCCATCTCTCATCCTTTCTTCTATCACTCCTATCTGCTCTCGTTCCAAATCTTCTGCAACCCCGCATCCTAGTGGCTTCACGCCTTGCTCGAGGGCGTAATGCTTAATATATATATATATATATATATATATATATATATATATGATACCGCACAATGAGTCCTGGGATGAAGAAAATCGTGCTATTAAGTATATATTAATAAATACGGGATATTAACACTCACCAGGAGCACAACATGGAGTTTTCATGCGCAAATTATGTAACTGACCTTAGATAATTTAAATTTTAATAAAAATATTTGTTGACGCATTGCTGACGCAATCTATATTTTATAGGGGTATTACGTTTGTATATATATATATATATATATATATATATATGAGGAAGAGTTTATAGCAGTTCCAACGAGAGAAAAGTGTGTATATTACAATGAAGAGAGATACCGAAAACGTTTTTGGTTGTAATATAGTTTTTTTTTTTGTTTTTTTTTAAATATTATGCTTTATTTTCCATAATTTTACTACACAGGTTTCTGGTCTCACGACCATCATCAGGTAAAGGGTGGAGATTTCCATATATTATTAAAAATAATTAGTTTTTTCTCCTTTATGTTTTTCAATGTTAAATATTCTCGATATGAGACATTCTCTTTGTTGTGTTAGTAATCCAAATTTCTTTCTTGAACTGGCAGTGAAGAGTTCTGCGCAAAGGGTCATAAAACAATTAATATTGGTCCGAGAGAAATGATGAATTAGATTTCGGTATCTTTATCTTTTAATGTTTTAATGACCCTTGTGTGTTTCTTAGATCTATTTCCATTTTTGCATGTTCCTTTATATATATATATATATATATATATATATATATATATATATATTACAAACGTTATGCCCTTACTTATTTTAAAAGCAATATATATATATATATATATATATATATATATATGTATTGCTTTTAAAATAGACGGCATTTATATTTTTATATTTAAGATGGTGATTAATATTTTATTTTATATTTAATGATAGATTACGTAGTGCATGTGACCCCGAGTCGTGCTACCAGTGAGGGATAATATGTATATATATATATATATATATATATATATATATATATATATATATATATATATATATATAATTATTTATTTAAAATATGATTCCAACGCTACATAAGAGTTCTCATGCTTCAAAAACAAGAGCCAAAATAATATAATTATTTGAATTAAATTGAATTAAAGTACCAAGCTCTTGGTACTTTAATTCAATTTAATTCAAATAATTAGAT